AATACATTAAGATGTAGTACTATAGCACAGTCCTCAGTTGTTCATTGATTTGCTCGAGTGGCCCCAGTAACGTCTCCATTGTGAGACTTGTTGTTACTGTGTTTGGCATATCGAATACGTCATGGGTAGCTTGCCAGGCTCTGCCGTGCGGGCGAGATACTCTCGGTAGCTTGCCGGGCTCTCCGAGAGGGGCGGAGGAATCGAACCTGGCTCAGCCGGTCTGGCTGCGTGCGAGGCAGATGCCCTACCTGCTGTGCTATTGCTCCAGCTCTTAATACATTAAGATAATAAGACAAAAATCATTTCATGGAAGGGCAGGAAGGTGCATACCGAGCACATATGAGGGACCCAATTCCATTCCCAGTGCAACAGGTGTTACTCTGGTGGCCCCCGGGAGGCCCCTGAGCACCACTTGGGAGGCCAAGACAAAAGAGAGACACCCTGCTCAGCTGTCCCAGTGGCTCCCTCAGGACATCTGCATTCTACCCCCTCATGCTGGTAGACATCAGAGGAGTTGAATAGATGAATGAGAGGTTTTGAGACCGGGGATAGGGTCCTGGATGACCCAGGGGGCTTGGATTCAAACCCCGGAACTTCCTGGGACACCTGTGCCGAAGCGGGAGAAGGGGCTGCCCATAGACAGAGTATCCAGCTATCCCCAAGTCACAACCACCACACCCTAATCCCACCCCAGTTCAGCCCGCCCAACAGAGTATGACCACGCCCACACAGCAGACCCTGCCCACCAACACCCCACGCCCACTCAACAGACCACGCCCACACAGCCGAGGCCCAGCCACACCCCTACCCATAGCCACGCCCCTCACCCATCCTCACTCCCCAGCCACACTCTTACCCATGACCACGCCCCAAACACGCCCCCTCGCCAGTACTGGATGCCCAACCACGCCCCTTCACCCGTAACCACGCCCAAAACACACCCTCACCTTAAAGGCGAGGCCACGCCCCTCGTCCGTAACCACGCCCCTTCACCCGTAACCACGCCCAAAACACACCCTCACCTTAAAGGCGAGGCCACGCCCCTCGTCCGTAACCACGCCCCTTCACCCGTAACCACGCCCAAAACACAGCCTCGCCTTAAAAGGCGAGGCCACGCCCCTCACCCGTAACCACGCCCAAAACAACCCTCACCTTAAAAAGCGAGACCACGCCCCCTATCCGTAACCACGCCCATTCACCCGTAACCACGCCCAAAAACAGCCTCACCTTAAAGGCGAGGCCACGCCCCCATCCGTAACCACGCCCATTCGCCCGTAACCACGCCCAAAACACACCCTCACCTTAAAGGCGAGGCCACGCCCCCTCATCCGTAACCACGCCCAGCCACGCCCCTTCACCCGTAACCACGCCCCAAACACGCCCTTGCTATAAATATCTGGCCACGCCCCTCACCCATAACCACGCCCTTCGCCCATAACCACGCCCCAACCACGCCCTCGCTATAAATGCCCGGCCACGCCCCTCGCCCGTAGCCACGCCCACTCACGCCCGCGGGAGCAGAGGATGGGTCAGAAGCTGGAGACACTCACGGTGATGGTCAGGGGCTGCTGGGTCTTGGGCGTGTTGATGCTCAGCTTGGCCACACCGTCCTCCCCGGTGAAAGACAACACCCTGTTGAATTCCTCGGTCACCACGGGCACGCGAACCGCGGGGGAGCCGTCGGGGTTGGTCACAGACACCTGTGCGAGGGGTGGGGGCACCAGGGTGTTCAGGTGAGCCCGAGGCTCAGCAGGGGTGCCAGGAGGTCCCGCCCGCCTGGGTTCTCACCATGAGGTCAAAGGGCATGGCAGGCTTGAAGTACTTGGGGGTCTTGGTGAAGTGGATCTTATAAGGGGAGTCCACGATGGGGATCTGGTCACTCTCTGCCTCCACCATGTCGCTGCCTGGGGGGAACAGCCGTGAGGATGGGGTGCCCGGACACCCCTCAGGACCAGGCCTCCCTGCTGACCCCCTCAGATGGAGCCCACCTTCATGCTGGGGGCCTCCGCCTTCAGACTGAGCCTCCCCCTTAGATGAAGCCACCGTCCTTGGGCTGAGTCTCTCCTCACTTAATTTTTTTATTTTAGTTTATTTTTTAAAAATTTTTGCTTTTTGGGTCACACCCAGCGATACTCAGGAGTTATTCCTGGCTCTGCACTCAGGAATTACTCCTGGTGGTGCTTGGGGGACCATATGGGATGCCGGGGATTGAACCTGGGTCAGCCACGTGCAAGGCAAACGCCCTACCCGCTGTTGTGCTATCGCTTCGGCCCCTCTCCTCACTTTGAATGATACGAGATCCCCCTCAGACTCAGTCCGATGATGGTACTGGGCCTCCTCCCTCAGATTAGACTGCATACTCGTAGTGGACCTCCCTTCTTAGACTGGGCCACACAATGGACTGAGCCTCCTCCCTCAGACTAAACCACACGGTGGCTATTGGTCTACCGCCTCCGACTAGACTTCAAGGTGATCTCCCTTCAGAAACTGGATCGTGTGGTGGACTAAGCCTCCCTCCTCAGGCTAGACCACAGGGTGGTACTGGGCCTCCCCCCTCAGACTAGACCACACGATGGTCTCGGTAATAGACCTCCCTTCTCGGACTGGGCCACGTGGTAGACCGAGGGTCTTTCCTCACCCTGGGCCACATGGTGGTAACTGGGCCTCCCCCATCAGACCAGGTCTCACCTGACTGCAGGATGACGGTGACCGACACGTACAAGGATTTTCCCACCAGAGCATTGGCATCCGAGGGTTGCACCCCATCCAGCAAGTCCCTCCGGAAGAGCCTGGCCTCCCCGACGCCACTCTCAATCTGCGGGGCAGTGAGGGATCAGCAAGGGGCAGGGGAGGGTTCGGGGGGGGGCCAGTGGAGGGCTTCAGAGAGGGGATTCAGGTCAGATACCACAACTCGGGAGAGGGACTGGGTCAGTGAGATCCTCTGGTCGCCGTCCTGCACGCCGAAGATGACAAAGGCGGTTCCGTCCACTTCCTTCCCGTACAGGAACCTGTTGGGTGGGAGTGTCCGGCTCTGAGATGCCGCCTTCGCCTGCCTTTCTCCCAGTCTGCCCCCCGGCCCCCGCCCCGTCCCTCCACTGACCATATATTTTTTTTTTGCTTTTTGGGTCACACCCGGCGATGCTCAGGGGTTCCTCCTGGCCCTGCACTCAGGAATTACTCCTGGTGGTGCTTGGGGGACCATATGGGATGCCGGGAATTGAACCCAGGTCGGCCGCGTGCAAGGCAAACGCCCTCCCTGCTGTGCTATCTCTCCAGCCCCCTTTTATTTTTTAAACGTTTTATTATTTATTTATTTATTTATTTTTTGCTTCTTGGGGTCATACCCGGCGATACTCAAGGGTTACTCCTGGCTCTGCACTCAGAAATTTCTCCTGGTGGTGCTCGGGGGGACCCTATGAGATGCTGGGAATCGAACCCGGGTTGGCTGTGTGCAAGGCAAACGCCCTCCCCGCTGTGCTATTGCTCCAGCCCCTCCTTTATTATTATTTTTTAAATTTCGTTTTGTTTCATGTTGGGGGCCGCACCTAGTGGTGCTCTGCGGGTCAGAGGACCCTCCGGGGCGCCGGGGATCGAATCTGGATCAGCCACATGCAAGGCAAATGCCCTACCACTGCACTATCGCTCTGGCTCCTATTACCATTTTGGTTTGAGGGCCACACCCACGGGAGTTCAGGGCTTACTCGTGGCTCTTTGCTATGGAGTCACTCCCGGTGGGGTTCATGGGCCCCCCGTGCAGCACTGGGAATTGAATCTGGGTTGGTCACACACAAGGCAGACTCCCCCCACCCCCCACCACCACCGTTCTCTGCAGCTCCCTTTCCAACGGTTTCCTCTGGACCTTACCTGGTCCCACCCTGGCCATCACCTGGTACTTCCTCCTCCCCTAACAGCTCACCTGGCCTTGATGGTGACCTCCAGGTCATTAGGGTCATGGACATAGTAGAATTTCTCTGCGGTCTCCACTTTGACCTCGAAACTGGGCAACACTGAGGGGGTGGAGGCATATAGTGAGGGCAGGGCATGACCTAAGGTGCCCGGGTCCCTTACCCAGGCTCCCTCCTCCTCCTTTTTTCTTTTCCCTGCTGGTGCTCAGGTTTGACTCCTGGCAGTGCTCGGGAGACCCTGTGGGGGTGCTGGAGATGGAACCTGTGTTTGCTGTGTGAGACAAATTCCCTCTCACTGTGTTATCGCTCCGGCCCTTTCAGGAGCCTCTTTTTTTTTTTTTTCTTTTTGGGTCACACCCGGCAATGCTCAGGGGTTACTCCTGGCTTTGCACTCAGGGATTATTCCTGGTGGCTCTCCGGGGACCCTATGGGATGCCGGGAATCGAACCTGGGTTGGCCGCGTGCAAGGCAAACGCCCTCCCCGCTGTGCTATCGCTCCAGCCCCCTCTTTCAGGAGCCTCTTACCATACTCCTTCACCTCGAACTCCGCAGTGAAAACCTTCTTCGGCGAATCCTCATAGTGAGCGGTGATCTTCCACTGCCCCATACTGAGAATACCAGGCAGGTGAGAGATGGAGTTAGGGACAGGCCCGCTCAGACCCCCACACTTCCTCTCCCGGGATTGGGGAGTCCTGAACCCCCTCCCGGGGGAAACGGGGGAATCTGACATACTTGACCAGCTCTGGAATGTTCCACGACAAAGGCAACATCCCTCCATAGTCGCTGGGAGACTTGGAGCCCTGATCGACGGGAACTCCTTCCGGGGTCTGTGGGGTACAACATGGGGATTGAACCCGAGACATGCTGGTGTTTTGTTTTGCTTTTGAGGAGGGCCACCTGCCTGTGCTCAGAGCTTGACTCTGGCCTCAAGGGTGTCTCCTGATGGTGCTTCAGGGCCCCCAAGTGGTGCTGGGATAGAGCCAGGCAAGCCACCAGACCCCCACTGTCTTTTTTGCAGCCGCCCACGGCCTCTCTCGTCTCCATCACTTCCCATGGCAAGTTAGTGGTGATGGGGTTAAACATCATAGCTCAGGGCCCTGAGCGAAAGAACAGTGGGGACACTTCTTGCTTTGCACATGGCCGACCCGGGTCCAATCCTCAGTACCCCATAGGGTTTCCCCACAAACCCTGACAGGAGTGATCCCTGAGCACAGAGCCTGGAATAAGCCCTGAGTAGCAAGCACTGTCACTGTCCTCCCGTTGTTCATCGATTTGCTCGAGCGGGCCCAGTAACGTCTCCATCGTGAGACTTGTTGTTACTGTGTCTGGCATATCGAATACGTCATGGGGAGCTTGCCAGGCTCTGCCGTGCGGGCGAGATCCTCTCAGTAGCTTGCCGGGCTCTCCGAGAGGGGCGGAGGAATCGAACCCGGCTCAGCAAGGCCTGAGTATGGGCCCCAAAAACAAACAAAAAGAGAGAAACTAGAGCAGGAACTGATCACCCAGTGTTCATAATCTGAGCTCGATCTGTTGGTTTTATTTATTTATTTTTTTTTCGGCGGGGAGGGGAGTCAGTCCTGAGCACTGCTGGGTGTGACCCATCAAACAAAATAACATAAAACCCAGCTCAGGGGCTGGAGAGATAGCACAGTGGGGAGGGCGTTTGCCTTGCACGCGGCCGACCCGGGTTCGATTCCCAGCATCCCATAGGGTCCCCTGAGCACCGCCAGGAGTAATTCCTGAGTGCAGAGCCAGGAGTAACCCCTGTGCATCGCCGGGTGTGACCCAAAAAGAAAAAAAAAAGAATCAGTGAGATGGGCTGAGGCAATTCATAGTACAACAGGTGGAGTGTTTGCCTTGTACGCAGCCGACCCAGGTTCAATCCCCAGCATCCCATATGGTCCCCCGAGCACCTCCAGGAGTAATCCCTAAGCGCTGCCGGGTGGGACACACCCCCGCCACCCAAGGCAAGGCAAAAAAGAGAAGAAGAGGGGCTGGAGCGATCAGCACAGCGGGTAGGGCGTTTGCCTTGCACGCAGCCAACATGGCCAACACAGGTTCGATTCCCAGCATCCCATAGGGTCCCCCGAGCACCGCCAGGAGCGATTCCTGAGTGCATGAGCCAGGAGTAACCCCTGAGCATCGCCGGGTGTGACCCAAAAAGAAAAAAAACCAAAAAAAAAAAAGAAAGAGAGAAGAAGAATCCGAGGGAACATGGGTTCGAGTTCTGAGAAGCCTTGTGTAACCTTGAACAAGCTACTTCACACTTCAGTTGAGCTTTCTAGAATGAACCGAATACAGACCCCCTGCTCACTGGCTGGACCATAGACCAGGCAGGGAGGGGGGTTTTCTCTTTGGTCTGTTTCTGATGTTTCCGACCTTCTTTGGGGCAGTGCATATTGTGGTACCCAGGAAGTGACCTGTACCAAGGTCCTGACATAGGTCACTGGGAAAATATCAAGAAAATATCCTAGGGACGGAGCTGATGGGAAGTGGGAAGAAGGAGGAGGCAGATAAGAGGGGAGGACAGGGTAGGTTGTTAAAACCTGCTGACCTGGGGGGAGGATTTGATTCTTTTTCTTTGGGGAACTATAGGAGCTAATTTGGGTGCTCACTGGTGCCCCCTGGAGGCGGTAGGCAGAACCGCCTGCACTGAATCATCACCTGCATGCAGTTCACCCACTTTTCAGATGCGAAAACTGAGGCTCACGTTGAGAGTCCAGAATCGAGCGGCCTGTCTCGAATCACCCAGTTGCCAGGGTCTTATCTTGCAGCCCGAACTGCACTGGCATAAACCTGTTATGCTAGATGTCCGCTCTCAAACGGTCTCTCTTTACATATGTGGGGGAAGCCCTCCCGCTGGTTACCTGTACAGTGTAGACAACAGACCGGCTCACTGGCAACAGGCTGTGGTCCACGGTGAAGATCCGATAGAGAACTGGGAGAAAAGGGGAGCTCGGTGAATCCTGGCCCCTCCGCACCCCCTGCTCCCGGCCCTCCCCAGCCTCCCCACTCCCTCACCTTTATTTTTATTTATTTATTTAATTTATTGATTTTGTTGCTTTTGGGGTCACACCTGGTGATGCACATGGGGTTCCTCCTGGCTCATGCACTCAGGACTGACTCCTGGCGGTGCTCAGGGGACCCTATGGGATGCTGGGACTCGAACCCGGGTTGGCCGCGTGCAAGGCAAACGCCCTCCCCGCAGTGCTATCGCTCCAGCCCCCTCCCTCACCTGTAGAGCCGGGAGTGTAGATGGTCTTGTCTGTCTGGATGAAGAGGTACCCGCTCTGAATGCTGATCAGCACCAGCTTCTCCAGGTCCTTGTTGTTGGGGAAGCTGGCCTGGACCATCACAAACTTCTGCCCCTTCCCTTTGGTCAGCTCATCGTTCACTGGGATCTAGGGGTGGACCAGGGCACCGTCAGGGCTGGGCGCCAGGGTCCCCTGCTCACCGCGTCAAAACATCTGCCCCTCCTGGCCCATCACTCCTTGGTCTCCCCAGTGTGTCCAGATCTGGGGACACCCTGGAATGGGGAAGAGGACAAGAGGCCCTGGTAGGGGACTGGAGAGGGGACAGGGACAGGGAATCTGACTTGGGGGGGCTCAGAGGGTGGGTGGGAGGGCTCAGAAGGGGGAATTTGCAGGGCTGAAGAGATAATATAAGCAACGTGGGTGCTCGCCTACCCGGAATTCCATATGCCCCCCCCACCCCCTCTCACCCCGAGTGCTGCCAGGAGTGATTTCTGAGTGCAGAGCAAGTAATGACTCCTGAGCACTGCGGGGTGTGGCCCACCCCCAAAAGGTGGGGGGGCGGGCTCAGAGGGGTGGAGCTTTTCTCAGAAGGGCAGGAACAAGGAAATGTGGGAAGAAGGCGGAGGGTGGGCCGAGGAGAGGGTACAGCAGGCAAAGAGCTTGCACTGCACACGGCCAACCCAGGCTCCAGCCCTAACATCTCCAGGGACCCCTGAGCCCACCCAGGAGTGATCCCCGAGCGCAGAGCCAGGAGAAAGCCCTGAGCACCATGGGGAAGGGCACACACACACACACACACACACACACACACACACACACACACACACACACACCAAAGAAAGAATGCAAGGAAGGTCCAGAAGCGCAGACTTGCCTTGGAGGGAGTGGAACGCCCCCTTGGGGGTGGGGCTAAGTGAAAAGCGGCGTTTCATTGGTGGAGAGGGACTGGGAGGGGCGGGACATTAGGGGCGGGATTACAGGGGGGCGGGACTCCACTGCGGTGGGGCAGGACTCCATTGGGGGAAAGCCCAGAGAGGGCGGGGCTTCATTGGCGGACAGCCTGAGAAGGGCGGGGCCAAGGGGACGGATTGCCGCGGGGCGGGACTCCACTGTCAAGGACAAGGTTCCATTGGGGGAAAGCCCAGAGGGGGCGGGGCTTCATTGGCGGACAGCCTGAGAAGGGCGGGGCTAAGGGGGGAGGATTTCCGCGGGGCGGGACTCCACTGCCAAGGACAGGGTTCCATTGGGGGAAAGCCCAGAGGGGGCGGGGCTTCATTGGCGGACAGCCTGAGAAGGGCGGGGCCAAGGGGACGGATTGCCGCGGGGCGGGACTCCACTGTCAAGGACAAGGTTCCATTGGGGGAAAGCCCAGAGGGGGCGGGGCTTCATTGGCGGACAGCCTGAGAAGGGCGGGGCCAAGGGGACGGATTGCCGCGGGGCGGGACTCCACTGCCAAGGACAGGATTCCATTGGGGGAAAGGCTACGAGGGGGCGGGGCTTCGTTGGGGAGGGCGTGAGATGGGCGGGGCTCCCCGGGAGGGGATTGCAAAGGAGTGGGAGCCCGCTGGGGAGGGCAGGGTTGCACTGGGGGGTGAGGTCCTGCAAGGAGAGGCCTCAAAGGCGGGTGCAGGTTGTCCAACCTTCACAGGCAGGGTGCTCAGGTGGCCGTTGGCCGGGGTCAGCAGGGTTTTCTCTCTGAACAGCACTTGCTTTTTGCCCGGGAAGTCATAGATGCTAACTGTGACCGGAATGTCCCCGTTGGCGTCGTGGGCCTCCACGACCACCAGCTCCTCATTCTCCAGCCTCAGGATGCTGGGGGTGATGATGGAGAACCTGGAGGGAGGAGACACGGGGAAGTGAGGGTGCAGCTGGGCTGTCCCCTGGCAACCTGCCCGATCTCTGACCTGGGCAGGATCCAGTGGTGACCAGTAGCAATCTCAAAACCAAAGCCAGCAACTTCCCCAAGCCTCTGCCAGCTTCCCCTGCCCGCCGCCTAGTCTACATACCTGCTTTCTTCAGCTCCAACGAGGCACAATCTCGGGCAGCAAAGCTCCCACCCCCAAATCCACAAATCACCCAGTCAAGCCCACACTTTCATCCCTGCCCCTTGCCTCTCCACCTGCCCTAGTGCACCCTATAAACCAAATCTCTCTCTTTTTTGGGGGGGAGTCACACCCAGCGATGCTCAGGGGTTCTTCCTGGCTCTGCACTCAGAAATTACCCCTGGTGGTACTCGGGGGGACCCTATGGGATGCCGGGAATCGAACCGGGGTCGGCCGTGTGCAAGGCAAACGCCCTACCCACTGTGCTATCGCTCCAACCCCTAAACCAAATGTCTTAACACCAAGCCCATACATGCCGATGCCAAAAACCTCCCCAATCCTAAAAGCGCCCGAGAGTCTGAATGCTGCCACCCACCCACTACATCCCAGAAAAAACAGTTCCCTGACCTTCCAGTCCGCTAGTCCTTACAGATACCCAGCCTCCTCCCACAAGCCCTGGACTCCAGGAAGAGCTCTGGATTTGCAGAGAATGTGGGGCGCCAGGACATGCCCAGTTACGGGAACCCAGAATTCGCACGTCACCTCAGGTGTGGCCCCGCTGAGGTGGGCTCTCGGCTACTTACATGGGGTCCCCCAGCACCAGGGCGAGGCCATTCAGTATCAGCAGCAGCAGACAGCTGGGGCCTGAGTTAGGCGCCATGGTGCAGGGAGAGAGAGGGGAGGGGACAGAAGGGTACAGGGAGAGGCAGCGGGGGAAACTTAAGCACCGTCTGCCAGTGGCTGCTTTTATGGTGTTCCCTCCCTCCCTCAAGCCCTGCCCTCTGCACCCCCATTGTTGCCTCCTTCCCCCTCCTGGCCCGGGGCTGCCCAAGATTACACAATACCATTTCCTAGGTTTTTCAGTCTTTGGGTAAGTAACTCAAGGCCGTAGTCTTCTGCCACATGAAAACAGATGTCCCTTGCCCGGGCCTCAGGGCCGTGACCCAGCAAAGTCACCTGGTTGTTTGGCACTGTCCAGTAGAGAGATATTAAAGTCCAGAGAATCCTCCCCACCCCCATTGGACCCCAGCTCGCTGAGCCTACCCACCCCCACCCCCGACACACACCCCCGTCCACCTCTGGCCAAGCATGTCTTTGCTAAACCCTCCCTATGAGTTCCATTGGTGCGTGAAGTCTCTTCAGTTTCCATGAATTAGTGCCCTCCTCTGTGGAGAGAAGTCTGCTCCTTGGGGAAATCAGGGAGGTTTCTTGGAGGGTGGGACATGTTGGGTTGGGCTTTGAGGTATGCACAGGAGTTCACTATTTGCGTGTGCTTGTTATCTAGGGCAAGGGGGAGCCTGCGACTTATTCTCACCTGCCCGTTTCAGGATGCCTGAGTGGCAGTAGGGGTTAGAAAGCCAATCATGACAAAGTTTGAAGGACTAGTCATTTGCTATAACTCAATAGTTCCTTAGTGTATGTTTATTACTCTACAGTGTTTTATTTAAAGAGTTGTATATTCACATGGTACCGTATCAAAAAGTTGATACACAGGGAAAAGTCCGCCTTCCTCCCAGAGTTTCATCTCAGTATATGGGTCTTTCTCTCTCTCTCTCTCTCTCTCTCTCTCTCTCTCTCTCTCTCTCTCTCTCTCTCTCTCTCCCCCTCTCTCTCTCTGTCTGTCTGTCTCTCTCTCTCTCTCTGTATTTGAGAGGACACACCTGGCTGTGCTCAGGACTGATTCTTGGCTCTGTGCTCAGGGATCACTCCAGGCAGGCCCAGGGGACCATATGGAGTGCCAGGGATCAAACTTGGGTTGGTCGTGTGAAAGTAAGCACCTTACCACTGGACTGTCTCTCTCCTGACTGTATCTTCAATTTGATACTGCAACCAAATCAAATCTATTTCTTTCTAGAGATACCTTATACACATACCGATGTTTGGGAGATCTAATTTTTTTTAATTGAGAGGGTCGGAGGCTGGAGTGTTGGTATAGCAGGGAGTACGCCTTTCTTGCACGTGGTGTGTTTCGGTTCTATCCTTGTATCCCATAGGGTCCCCCAAGCACCACCAGAAGGAATTCCTGAACCCAGAGCCAGGAATAACCCCTGAGTATTGCCCAGTGTGGCCCCAATTCCTGCCCCCACTCCATTCATTGAGGGAGCCTGTAGAGAGAGTATAGCGGGTAGGGCATTTACCTTGCATGTGGTCAGCGCTGACCTGAGTTCGATCCCCAGCACCCCACAGAATTCCCTGAGACTCACCAGGAGTGATTCCTTAGAACAGAGCCAGGAGTTAGCCCACACTGCCGGTGTGGTCAAAAAATAGATAAATAAATAAAATTCAGAAAAGATATCTCCAATTTGCCTCCTTAATTAGTAAGATGGAGCTGGAGCGACAGCACAGTGGTAGGGCGTTTGCCTTGCACGCGGCCAGCCCAGCCGAACCGGGTTCGATTCTTCCGCCCCTCTTGGAGAGCCCAGCAAGCTACCGAGAGTATCTCGCCCGCACGGCAAAGCCTGGCAAGCTACCCATGATGTATTCCATATGCCAAACACAGTAACAAGTCTCACGATAGAGACGTTACTGGACCCGTTCGAGCAAATCGATGAACAATGGGAGGACCGTGACAGTGACAGTGACTTAGTGAGATATAAGTTGCAAAAGAGTCTTGGTCACGATCACGATCACGACCATCCTGTTATTCGTCAATTGCCTTGAGCAGGCCCCAGTAATGTCTCCTTCATCCTAGCCCTGAGATTTTTTTTTTTAAAGTGCCATATTCAAGGCTCTTTCAGGGTTAGGAAAATGAGACCCATCATTGCTACTGGTATTCGGCATATTGGGTACACCACGGGGAGTTTGCCAGACTTTGCCGTGTGGGCAGGTTACATTCGGTAGCCTGCCAGGTTGTCCAAAGTGGGAATGAGATAATAAGATGTCGCATGGCCGCGAATGCGGCTGCGCACTTCCAGGAGCTGGGTTTTGTAGTCTCTGGGTCTTGGCCGTTGATGGGATTACACGGCGGCGCCAGGGGGCCAGTTGGTGGGTGTGACCCCTGCCTACTGGAATTTGGAGGATCTGGGTGGAGGGTGCTCAGCCCCGATCCGAGCAGGCTTGGAGATCTCAGCCCCGGGACCCACATGCCTTTGTTCCTCTGCCAGTACCTTCATGCGTGTGGAGAGTGGTCTCAGCATGGTGGTGGCTGGTTCTGGAGGTCTTTGGCTGCCGGAGCCCTGGTCAGGGTGGAGAGGAAAACTCAACCCACTCTCTTCCAAGGGGCCCCGGTGAGGACATTTTTGCAGAAATAGGAAAGAACTTTTTTTTCCTGCTTTTTGGGTCACACCCAGCGATGCACAGAGGTTACTCCTGGCTCTGCACTCAGGAATTACTCCTGGAGGTGCTCAGGGGACCATATGGGATGCCGGGGAATCGAACCCGGGTCGGCCACATGACAGGCAAGTGCCCTACCCACTGTACTGTCGTTCCAGGCCCCAAAGGACTTTTTTCAAACCTGTAACTCCATAGATCCTATGGCAATTTAGAAAACTCTTTGGCACAATCTGAGGATTGCTAAAATAATATTGACAGGCCAAATAGAAGGTTTTAAAGAGGGGCCAGGGAGATTGTACAGCAGGGAGGGCGTTTTCCCTTGCATGTGGCTGATCTGGGTTTGATCCCAGGCATTTCATATGGTCCCCTGAGCACTGCCAGGAGTGATTCCTGAGTACAAGAGTAACCCCTGAGCATCACCAGGTGTGACTCAAAAAGCCAAAAAAAAAAAAAAAGGTTTTAAAGAATACATTTAAAATAGAGATGGGGGGGCTGGAGCGATAGCACAGCGGGTAGGGCGTTTGCTTTGCACGCAGCCAACATGGCCGATACAGGTTCGATTCCCAGCATCCCATATGGTCCCCTGAACACCGCCAGGAGCAATTCCTGAGTGCATGAGCCAGGAGTAACCCCTGAGCATCGCTGGGTGTGACCCAAAAAGCAAAAATAATAATAATAAAAAATAAATAAATAAATAAAATAGAGATGGGGGCAGAGAGATAATACAGCAATAGGGCATTTGCTTTGCATGAGGCAGACCCGGATTTAATCCCCAGAACTTGAGCGATCCTGCCAGGAGTGATTCCTGAGCACGAAGCCAGGAGTAAGCCCAGAGTACCACTGAGTGTGCCCAACCCCCACCCCCACCCCCCAAAAAAAAGTATTGATGGAGAGTCAGAGAGAAAACACAGGGGAAAGGCACTTGGTTTGCAGAGACCCTGGCTCAAATGCCTGGCACTGCACAGCAAGTGATCCCTGAGCACAGAGCCAGGAGTCAGTGTGGCCCCAAAAGCCCAAATTAAAAAAAAAAAGTCACACACACACACACACACACACACACACACACACACACACACACAGGAATAGAATAAGCTGTCCAGACGCTGACTTCCTGTTTCCCTGTTTGGCACTTTGCTTTCCCTAAACAATGCCCCTTAAAGACGGCTTGAAGTTTGTATGTTGCCTGAACAAACTTCCTCATTCTTTTGCACAATTGCCTATGTGAAAATAACCCGGACCCGCTGTCTCGCTAACAAAATCTCACTGACAAACCTCCTCACTGCCTTTTCCCGGGCTCGGCCCCTGTAGGCAAATTTAAGCAATTTAACTGGGCACCCCAGTGGCCCCACATGAAAAAAAGGGGCCATGACCCTTCTCAGTTGTCACTGAGCAAAAAAAGGAGCGCTTCAGATCACTGTGTTTTTCCTGCTCTGCCGTGCCCTGTTCTCTCTCCTCTGGGTGCCTGGGTTGACTTGCATTTTCTCACCACCTCAGAGGGAGCTGAGGGTTTGGGAGGGTGTGTCTGCTACTGCGGGTGTTCTTTTTTTTTTTTTTAATTTTTGGTTTGGGGTCACAGTCGGCGATGCTCAGGGGTTACCCCTGGCTCTGCACTAAAGAATTACTCCTGGCAGTGCTCAGGGGACACTACAGGATGCCGGGGATTGAACCTGGGTCGGCTACATTGCCTTCTCCGCTGTCTGATCACTCCAGTCCCTATTTTTATTTTTATTTTTATTTTGTTTGGGGCCACCCCCAGCAGTGCTCAGGGCCTTACTTCTGACTGCAGCCAGGGATCACTCCTGGCAGGCTAGGAGTATCGAGTGTAGAGGATTAAACTCGGGTCAGCCGCATGCAAGGCAAACTCCCTCCCTTGCTATGCTGTCTTTCTGGGTGTCCTTTTTGGGGGCTGGAGCGGTAGTACAGCGGGTAGGGCGTTTGCCTTGCACGCGGCCGAGCCGGGTTCGATTCCCAGCATCCCATAGGGTCCCCTGAGCACCGCCAGGAGTAATTCCCGAGTGCAGAGCCAGGAGTAACCCCTGTGCATAGCCAGGTGTGACCCAAAAAGAAAAATAAATAAATAAATAAATAAATAAAATGTACTTTTCTTCGTGTTGGAGTGGATAGCACAGCGGGTAGGGCCTTTTTGCCTTGCACACAGCCAACCTGGGTTCGATTCCTGGCTCTGTGCTCAGGGATCACTCGCATCGCTGGGTATGACCCAAAAAGAAAAAAAAAGAAAAGAAAAAGAAAGAAAAAAGTACTTTTCTCTGCCTGCCAAAGTCGCAGGTTGGGCTGGGGGGTTGGGGGAAATGAGATTGGTGAGAGTGAAACTGGGTCCATTAGTGCTGGGAAATGTACACTGGTGGAGGAATGGGTATTGCCTATTAAAAAAAATTTTTTTTTAAATGTACTTTTCTCGGGGCTGGAGCAATAGCACAGCGGGTAGGGCGTTTGCCTTGCACGCGGCCGACCCGGGTTCGATTCCCAGCATCCCATAGGGTCCCCTGAGCACCGCCAGGGGTAATTTCTGAGCACAGAGCCAGGAGGAACCCCTGTGCATTGCCGGGTGTGACCCAAAAAGCAAAATAAATAAAATAAAATTAAAATAAATGTACTTTTCTTGGGGCTGGAGAGATAGTATAATGGGTAGGGCATCTGTCTTGCACGGGTCCCACCCAGGCTCGATCCCCAGCTGGTCCCACCAGGAGCATCCCTGGGGTGTGACCCCCACCCAAGACAAAAAAAAAAAAAACCAAACCAAATGGCTTAAAATGTACTTTTCTCTAATTCCCAGCAAGGCTGAGCGTTAGGGAAAGGGGGTGAGGTTTTTCCCCGCGAGAGGCAAGAAAGGCGTTTGTGTGTGGGGGCTGGGGGGTATTTGGGGACTGGGTTGAGGTCAGGTCAGCCGCTGTCCAGGGTGAGCAGGACTCGCTCAATTTCCAGTAAGTGGGTAAAGGTGAGGAGAACTGAAACAAATGTGACCAATGGCTGCCCCGATTGCAACATTTCCCTCCCAGTTCTCTTTGGCAGGGGCGTGCAAATATTTGTTATTCCCCAGAATTTCTTTTCTCCATTTCTGAGACTGGGAGAGGGAGGGGGGGGGGCGGTGTCTGCTAGAATCTCCCCAACTTTTATTCTTAATTTTCTCCCCCTTCAGTCCCCACCATGAAACCCACCCAGATTCTGAGTTTCATGAGAGACTTAAGTATTTGTGGGTCTCTTTCGTCTCTGTCTCTCTATCTCTGTCTCTCTCTCTGTTTGTGTGTGTTTTGTGGGGGGGGGGGGTGCACATCTAGGAGTTCTATTCGCACCCAGTTCCGAGATTGCTTTTTTTTTTTTTTGCCTTTTTTGGGTCACACCCAGCAATGCTCAGGGGTCACTCCTGGCTCTGCACTCAGGAATTAATCCTGGCGGTGCTCGGGGGACCATATGGGATGCCGGGGATCGAACCCGGGTCGGCCGCGTGCAAGGCAAACGCCCGACCCGCTGTGCGATCGCTCCAGCCCCCCGAGATTGCTTTTGGAGGTGCTCAGAGAACCATATGGTGTCAGGGAGGAGAGCCGGGTCTCCATGCAAAGTGCTCAGGGAAGCTTAAGCATTTGGGCTCTGTGGTTCGTTTGTCTGTCTTGAGGAAGTATGAATTTTTCTCCAGGTCTGGGGAAATTCCTCCAGAATCCACCAGATTCTCTCCTCCTACCCTCGAGCCTCAGTCTACTTGCTTGAAAAAAATGAGACTATGATTTTATAGATATATATAGTACAGCTATTTTTATATATAGTACACCAAGTAGGATGCTTGCTTCGCACGCGGCCAACCAGGTCCGATCAACGGGAGTTCCGGATGGTCCCTCATGCCCCCCATGAGTGATCCCTGAGTGCAGAGGCAGGAGGAAGCCCCGAGCCATGCTAGGTGTGACCCCCCCCAAACAAAAATACACCAAATGGAACTCTGTTCAAGTCTGATGTTTTTGTTTCTTTTGTTGTTTCATGACCCCCACTAGGCTGTTTCATGACCACACTCTGGGATCACTCTGGGATCACTCCTGGTGGGGCTCCAGGAACCCTACAGGGTGCTGGGGATTGAGCCCACCCCCCTCTGCAGGTTCAAAGCAAGCCCCTCCCCCCAGGGACTATTGCTCTGATATCTCGTGTCTGCTGTTTGATGATTAGGGAGTGGGGAATTCCATTTTTTCTATACCACCAAAGCCTGGCATTCAGCTGCCACATGCAAAGAGGGAGAGCCACCGTGTCTGGACTGATGCTTACAGGTACTTGGGACAAACAAGACATAAATCATCTCTTAGTCACCTGAAATTCACATCCACCCGGAAGTGCTGGGTTTGGCCAGGCCAACTTTATTTTAGTTCTGGGGTCACACCGGGCGATACTCATGGCTCGGCACTCAGGAATCACTCCTGGCCGTGCTTGGGGGACCCCATGGGATGCCGGGGATCAAACCAGGTCAGGCACATAACAAGGCAAGCACCCTCCCCGCTAGACCATTGCTTCACTGCCTGTTAGCAGAAACCCAAGTACCGAGAAGGAGGTACAGAGGACTTGGGGGTCTGGGGTCCATGCACTTCCTCTCCTGCACCCCTGCAGAGGAGCTGCATACCACCCCTCTCTCTCCCCCAGAGCTGCACTGCCAGGCCTGGGAGTGGCAGGAAATCCCCATCTTATTTCCGGCCCCTGCAACTCCTGGATGGGGGTCCCTGCCACATCATCTTCGGGGAATGTCCTCTGAATCCTGCTACTTGCCCCTTAGGTCATGGCATGGCCTTCCCCCCCCCCCCCCACGTCCGCCTCCCCGCATCCCCCTCTTCCCGGGGGTCTGTTATTCATTAACTCACCTGTGACTTTGACTTGACCTCTCTCCCTACCCCCTTGGACACACACACGCCCACACATGCACCCAAGCACCCTGCCTGGAGGGTGCCAGGGACAGAGGCAGCCCTTTTTTTTGTCTTCCCCTTTTTGGGGTCACACCCAAATGTTCAGGGGGTTCCTCCTGGCTCTGCACTCAGGAATGACTCCTGCTGGTGCTCGGGGGACCATATGGGATGCCGGGAACCGAACCTAGGTCGGCCGCGTGCAAGGCAAACGCCCTACCGACCTGCTGTGCTATCGCTCTGGCCCCCAGAGGTAGGTCTTGTCGCGTTGTCTGCTCTGGGCCTGCTGGCCATCGCGGACCCTGGACAAACTGCTGGTGATGGAAGATCATGAGGACCTGGAAATTTCCTTTTCCTTTCATGTGTGTGTGTGTGTGGGGGGGGGGGGGGGGCATACGGCTGTTAACAAGTATTGTCGGGGCTGGAGATAGCACAGCGGGGAGGGCGTTTGCCTTGCACGCGGCCGACCCGGGTTCGAGTCCCAGCATCCCATAGGGTCCCCTGAGCACTGCCAGGAGTAACTCCTGAGTGCAGAGCCAGGAGGAACCCCTGTGCATCGCCGGTTGTGACCCAAAAAGCAAAAAAACAAAAACAACAACAACAAAAAACCAAGTATTGTCTAGTACTCACATCTCCCCAAGGGCGCTGGGGAGCACTAGGGTGACACCCGGCAGTGCACCGGTGTATGTGGCGTCGGGGATCCTGCATGGCACCTGTGGTCTCTCACTGTCCTCGTGAGCTCATTAGTTACACACTGGACCTCAGTCCTGGGCCTCCCATCTGCGCATGCGTCTGTCTCCAGGTTCCCCACCCCCCTCCCACCCCCATCAATCGCTGCCTTTACCTTGTGTCAGGTTCCCTGTGGTCCCCTTGGTCCCGGCTCTGTTCCCAGGTTGGGCACCAGGCCCAGCACACAATGTGGTTCCGTTAATAACTTTTATTATTATTTTTTTCGGGGAAGGGTCACACCAGGCCCATGTTCTGGGGGGTGACTTCCTGTCGTGCTTGAGGGACTGCGCAGGGGCAGGCACTAAACTTGGTTATGTATCCAGCCTTTTGGGTTTTATTTATTTTTATTTAATTTTTTGCTTTTTGGGTCACACCCGGCGATGCACAGGAGTTACTTCTGGCTCATGCACTCAGGAATTCCTTCTGGCGGTGCTCAGGGGACCCTATGGGATGCTGGGAATCGAACCCGGGTCGGGCGCGTGCAAAGCAGACGCCCTACCTGCTGTGCTATCATCACTCCAGTCCCAGGGGTTTTTTTTTGTTTTTTGGGGGCCACACCCAGTGATGCTCAGGGGTCATTCCTCCCCCCTCGCCCTGGGGTGATTCCTGGCTCTGCATCCAGGGGTGACTGCTCGGGGGACCATATGGAGTGCTGGGGACCCAACGTGCCAGGCAAATGCCAACCCCCCTCCAGCCACTGCCCCAGCCCCTTAGAACCATCTCCCCATCCCCTCTGGTTCCTGCACGTCCCTTCCCACACACTTCCCTGTCCCACAAATACAGGCCTCTTAAACTGCAGACACCAACCTCTGTTTTACACCCAAACTTCCAGAAAGGGGGAAAAAAAAAAAAGGAAAAAGAAAGAAAAAAACCCAGTTGTAAAAAGATCGGTCATTATTATACAGCTGGAATGTTGGGGCGAGGGGAGTTCCGGGCTGGGGGGCTGGAATGCCGGTCTTTGGGGGGAGGGGGGAGGGGACTGTGACGTCTGTCTAAGGGGGCTTCGGGGACTTGGGGCCCCCTGTGTGGGCGCAGGGGTAGGGCCGGCCGTCGGCTTCACTCATGCTTCGAGAAGGGCAGGAACTTGTGCGACAAGAGGTATTCACTAGTGAGGTCTTCTGGCCCGGGGTGCTGACGTCACAGCAGTTCTCGCCTGCTTGAGGTTTTGTTGACTTTGGACAGGCCTTCCCGGAACCCAGAATCGGTCATTCTAGAGGTGCACCCGGGAAAGTCAGGCCAGCAGGTGAGAGGCACTGGGCGGGGCCTTCCAATCAGAGCCACCCGGAGCCCCGCCCCCTCCACCCGGAGCCCCGCCCATCTACTCAAAGCCCACCCCCGAACCAGAGTCCTGCCCACGTGCCAGAACATCCAAGCCCCGCCCCCTCCACCCAGAGCCCCGCCCCTCTACCCAAAGCCAATCCCCGAACCAGAGTCCTGCCCACTTGCCAGAGCTCTCCAGGCCCCGCCCCTAATATAAGCCCCGCCCCTCCACCCATAGCCCCGCCCCTCTACCCAAAGCCCACCCCCTAACCAGGGTCCTGCCCACTTGCCAGAGCTCTCCAGCACCCACCCCCTAACATAAGCCCCGCCCCTCCACACAGAGCCCTGCCCCTCTACCCAAAGCCCACCCCCTAACCAGAGTCCTGCCCACTTGCCAGAACCTCCAAGCCCCGCCCCCTCCACCCAGAGCCCCGCCCCTCTATCCAAAGCCCACCCCCTAACCAGAGTCCTGCCCACTTGCCAGAGCTCTCCAGACCCCGCCCCCTAATATAAGCCCCGCCCCTCTACCCAAAGCCCATCCCCGAACCAGAGTCCTGCCCACTTGCCAGAACCTCCAGGCCCCGCCCCTAACATAAGCCCTGCCCCTCTACCCAAAGCCCATCCCTAACCAGAGTCCTGCCCACTTACCAGAGCTCTCCAGGCCCCGCCCCTAATATAAGCCCCCGCCCCCTCCACCCAGAGCCCCGCCCCTCTACCCAAAGCCCACCCCCTAGCCAGAGTCCTGCCCACTTGCCAGAGCTCTCCAGACCCCGCCCCCTAATATAAGCCCCGCCCCTCTACCCAAAGCCCATCCCCGAACCAGAGTCCTGCCCACTTGCCAGAACCTCCAGGCCCCGCCCCTAACATAAGCCCTGCCCCTCTACCCAAAGCCCATCCCTAACCAGAGTCCTGCCCACTTACCAGAGCTCCCCAGGCCCCGCCCCTAATATAAGCCCCCGCCCCCTCCACCCAGAGCCCCGCCCCTCTACCCAAAGCCCACCCCCTAACCAGTCCTGCCCACTTGCCAGAGCTCTCCAGGCCCCGCCCCTAATATAAGCCCCCGCCTCCTCCACCCAGAGCCCCGCCCCTCTACCCAAAGCCCACCCCCTAGCCAGAGTCCTGCCCACTTGCCAGAGCCCTCCAGGCCCCGCCCCCTAAAATAAGCCCCGCCCCTCCACCCAGAGCCCCGCCCCTCCACCCAAAGCTCCATTCCCCCACCCACTCGACTCCCCCCTCCACCCCGGGGCAGGCCCCGCCCACCCACGTGGCCACCCCGGAAGCTCACACTTGCTCCATCTGCACATCCTCCTCGTCCTCCTGAGGCAGCTGCAGGTAGGGGTTGTCCCTCGCCGGCTGGAACTTGTAGCCCGTGAGCACGAAGAAAGCCAGCGTGGAGGCCTCCACCAGGAGCTGGGAGGGGTGAGGGGCAGGAGCGTCAGAGCTCCCCCCTGTTTCCACGGGCTCCCGCCCCTTCCCCCCTCCGCGGCCTCGCCAGGTGGCCTCGCCGCCCACCTGGTACAGCCACTGCCACTGGAAGGGCACGGCCACCCTGAGCAGGATGGCGATGATCCGCGTGAAGTAGACATAGCAGATGATCTGCGGAGACGTGGGAGGGCACAGGGCAGCGGGGCCACCGGACAGGGAGACCCCAGGACCACTGGGGAGGCCCCCGCCCCCACCCAAGCCCTGGGTTCCAGAGGTGCCCCGGGAAAAGGCAGTTCGGGAGTGGAAGGCCCTCCAATCAGAGCTCTGGGATCCGCCTCCTCCAGCCAGGCCCCGCCCCCTTCGTCAAAGCCCTGCCCACTCCGCGAGACCCGGTCCAGGCCCCGCCCTTTTAGGCAAATCCCCGCCCTAGGCCCCGCCCCCGGCCCTAGCCCCGCCCCCTCCAGCTCACTCTCTCGACTCCGCCCCCTCCAACCTCCGCTAGGCGAGACTCAAGGGTCCAGTGATTGCCAAGTGCAGAGTTGGGGCAGGTGGGCGAAACAGGTGACCTCAACAAGCCCCCCCGCCGTGAGACGCAGGGGGTCCCTACCATGATGTAGTAATGCCGGAACAGCTTCAGCTTGGCCAGGTTCACTGCCACTGGGGGGGGGGGGGCACAGAGAGGGGTCAGGAGGTAGGCCAGGGACCGAGTGGACTCCGGGGGTGGGGAGGGGGTGGGCGCATGACCTAGGTGCGGGAAGCTCTGCGGATCCAGAGGGGCGCCGCAGGGGGCAGGGAAGAGCCAACCAAGTGGGGGGGGGGTTGTCTGGAAACCAGAGTGGGCAGAGAGGCTGGGTGGGACCTGGCAGGTGGGGCAGGGGCAGCGGGCAGGGTCTGGGGGCAGGACGGGGGTCCTTGCATGGGGAAAAAAGGCCTCACCCTTCCCGTCAGTGCCCGAGGCGTCCTGGAGATGCCGGATGGACCTGGGTGGGATGGGGAGGGACACACGGGAGGGTCAGCTGGACCCAGCGGGGCGTTTCGGGCAAGCACCCAGGGGCAGGAGGGGAGGGGGGAGGTCCTCACCAGACCACCGGGAAGAGGATGGCACCGCAGCAGAGGAGGTCCACCAGGAACAGCACCTCCTTCCACAGCCTGTAGTCGCTGGCGCCCTCCTCGCGGGAGTCGATGATGATATAGGCCACGTTGGCCAGCACCTGAGGGGATGCAGGGGGGAGGGGAGGCAGGAGCTGGGTGGGGGGGGCCAGGGCCTGCATCCCCGGGGTGGGGTGGTGGGGTCCCGCGCCCCTCACCTGCAGCGGGATCACGATGCCAAAGAGCTTCTTCTCCTTGTCGGACAGCACGTACTTGACGAAGGCCCAGCCCGAGCCGATGAGGGCAATGGTGATGAAGAGGAGGGCCCCCTTCAGGCTGCGCGGGAGGCGGGTGGGCGGTGGGTGAGGGAGGGGGGGACGACGTCGCCCTCCTCCTGCCGGGAGGGGGGGCTCCCCCACCCCCCCAGCACGCCAGGGGTCGGGCACTCACAGATGTGTGATGTAATGCATGACCGCGAGGCCCTCAATGGGGTGGCCCTGGCTGTTGATGAAGTAGTAGTTGATCTGGAGGCAGACGGACGGACGGACAGACGGACAGACGGGCGATCAGACAGATGGAGGGGTGGGGGGGAAGAAGGTGGCTGGGGGGCCCGACCCCCCCTGCAAGGTGTGCTCCAGGGATGAGGGAGAGCTGGACAGATGAACATGGAGACCCCCCCGCCCCAGACGGCGGGCCTGACCCAGTGAGGCAGGGCGACAGGCACTGGGAGGGAGTGGGAGGTCTGGGATGGACAGAGTGGACAGGGGTCCCGACGCCCAGGAAATGGACAGGGTGTACAGTGGCCACGCCCAGGACATGGACAGACTGGGTGATGGCCAGGCCCAGGACATGGACGGACAGGGCTGCGGATGTGCCCAGGAACGGATAGCAAGACACTTGGGTTGGGCGCAGGTCTCGGTGATTTTTTTTTTGGGGGGGTCACACCCGGCAATGCACAGGGGTTCCTCCTGGCTCTGCACTCAGGAATTCCTCCTGGCGGTGCTCGGGGGACCCTATGGGATGCTGGGAATTGAACCCGGGTCGGCAGCGTGCAAGGCACACACGCCCTCCCCGCTGTGCTATCGCTCCAGCCCCGGTCTCGGTGATTTTGAGGAGTGGGGCCGGGGTGGGCACTCACGCTGTGGAACAGCAAGGAGATGCTCTTGGTGAAGGCCAGGGCCGCCATGAGCCAGTGGATCTTGAAAACGTTATAGCTGGAGAGGGCGGGGCAGTTGGGGGCATCAGCCGGGCGCAGGAAGGAAGAAGGGGAGGGGTCAGAGCGACAGGACAAAATGGGTCAGGCGTTTGCCTTTCGCAAAGCCGACCCGGGTTCGATCCCCGGCATCCCAAGGTCCCCAGAGGACCACTGGGCGCAATTTCTGATGCAAAACATTCAGGAGTAACCCCTGGGCATCACAAGGTGTGACCGCCCCCCCCAAAAAAAAGAAAGGGAAGGTGAGAGGTGAGGGGGGCCCCCCCAGGATCACCTGTTCCTACAGAGGATGGTCACCCAGAAAATCCCGGCGGCCAGGAAGCAGGCGGCCATGACCATGTAGAGATTGAAGAGCGGAATCTCGGAGGCGGACAGGAAGCCATTGGGGTTCTTCTCCCGGATCATGACCTGGGGTGGTGGGGGTGGTTGGTAGCTGGGGTCCGTACCCCGCTGGTTCTGGTCGTGCAGCACTGTGAGTGGTGCACCCGGTTCTCCGCTCTGGGAGTCCCCACCTCCCCCGGGCCCCCCACCCGCAGCCTCTCATTTCTTCTCCCAGACCCCCACAATGAATGAACGCCCACGGCCAAGTGCACCACAGAAAGATGGGGTACTCATGAGCCAGGGTGATAGGACAGCGGGGAGGGTGCTTGCTTTGCCTGGGGCTGACCTGGGTTCGATCCCGGGCACCACACAAGAGTCCCCGGGGCTCTGCCAGGAGTGATTCCCGAGTGCAGAGCCGGGAGTAAGTCCTGAGCACTGCCAGGTGTGGCCCAGCCCACCCCAGAGCTGTTCGATAGTACAGCAAGCTGCACAGAGCTGAACTGGGTTGGGTCCCCAGCATCCCACGGGGTCCCCTGGGCACTGCCAGGACTGAGTCCTGAGCATTGCTGGGGGTGCCCCCCCCCCCCCCACCGTAAAAGATGCTCGGCCATCCCAATCCTGCCAGCCCTCCGGGAGTCCCTGACCCCCCCCCCCCCGCCACGCCCCGCTTACCGTGATGTCAAAGGGTTGCCCCTTGCTGGGGTCCAGGTTGTGGCAATTGTGAAAGTTGAGGCTGTACTGGCCTTCCTCGGAGCTGGAGCCAATGACCACGTGGAACTGGCCGAGGGGAGAGACAGGGAGCTTCATGGGGAGGAGGGGCGGAGGGGGGGGATTCCCCACTCTGCAGAGAGGCGACCCCCCCCCCCACACACACACCCAGCAACCCCCGCCCTCACGGACACACTCACGCTGAAGTTGTAGGTGTCGTTGCGATGGCTCAGGTCCAGCACCAGCTCGGTGTCCTTCCCGCTGGGTGTCCGAGGGGACAGATGTCCACCGGGGCTAGCACGGTGGGGGGCCCCTACGCCTTCCGGTCCTACGGCCTGATGCCCTCCTTCAGACATGGTGGGCTGGGACTGACCCTTGGTCTGCATCTCCGTTTTGGTCCCTGGTGGGGGGCCAAGGTGGGATGGGGTGGGGTGAGGGGGGGGCACAGTGAATGAGTACAGAGTAGAAAGATGGGGGGGGGTGGCGTGCCCTCCCCCACCCTCCCCTTGCAACGGGCAGCTCCGCTCACCGCCCTCCGCCTTGGGGGTGGCCACCGTGTGTGGGGCAGTGGGGAGCCCCGTTTCGTGGGGGGTTTCTGGCAGAAGCCCGGGAAAGATGAACAGCTTCTTCTGCTCCCCATACTTCCGCACCTGGACTCTGGGGGTGGGGTTGTGGGGGGGCAGACAGGGGAGGACCCAGGCTCAGGCACACAGCTGGTGCTGATGGACCCAGCACCCTGGGGCCCTCTGGGTCTCGCTCGGGCCCAGCACTGGGCTCAGTTAGCAACCCTGGGGTCTGCCTTTGCCGACCTCCAACCTCCAACCTCCAACCTTGGTGGCATCTTCCAGGTCAAGTTTTATTTACTCGAGCAACGCTGGGGCCAGAGCGAGAGGACAGCAAGGAGGGCGCTGGCTTCGCGTGCCCCCGACCTGGGTTCGATCCCTGGGCGTCCCATAGCACGCCCTGAGCCCCACCAGAAATGATCCCCGAGCGCAGAGCCAAGAAGAGGCTCTGAGCACTGCTGGGCGTGATTCCCGAAGCCCAGGGATGTGGGGCCCCGTGGCAGAGGTCGACCTCCACGTGCGCAATGTGTACTGTGTCATGTTGACCGTGTCAACACAGTCCTGACCGGGCCCTTGGGTGTGACCGTACGGGGGAAGCACGTGACCCGCGGCTGTGTCCGAACCCCAAGACGACCAAAACGTGCAGCTGTGGAGGGGACCCAGGTAGAAGTGCACGTGTCCAGCGTGGGCAAAAGGCCTGGGTTCGATCCCTGGTACTGCCCGGCCCCACCCCGCTTCCGGAAGTGACCTTCTTCCTCCGGTCTGGGGTCTTGGGTCTGAGGTCCCCAACTCACCGCTGCCCCTTTCTGTCGATGAGGAAAAGGACCAGGAAGTTGCTACTGTTTTTCAGGAGAGGACAGTCCAGGGGGTTCCGGTTCTGGGAAGTGGGAAGAGGGAAGCCTGGTGACCCCCTCCCCTCGCTGAGACCAGACAGGGCTCCGGGGGTCACATGCAGCAAGACCCACCATCTCTCCCTTTCCCTCCCATGCCCCCCTACTCACCGAGTAGGAGCGAATGCTGCCAGATCGAACCCGGGTCAGGCTGAAGCCCACCTAGCAGGTGAGAAGAAAAGGGAGGCAGGAGGAACGGGACTTTTAGCAGGAAACCCCTTCCCCCAGACCCCACTTTCTGGAGCAAGAGGCTGCATTTACTGAACACTGAGTACTCGAGCCCTCTTATACTCATTGCATTTTTTTTGAGGGGGGAAACCACTCCCGGTAGTGCTCAGGGGTTACTCCTGGCGCAGTGCTCAGAGATCACTTTTTAATTTTTTTTTTTCTTTTTTTGGGGGGGTCACACCCAGCGATGCTCAGGGGGTTACTCCTGGCTCTGCGCTTGGAAATTATTCCTGGCGGTTCTTGGGGGACCATTTGGGATGTCGGAGGTGGAATGTGGGTTAGCAGCGTGCAAGGCAAATGCCTTCCCTGCTGTGCTATCACACCAGCCCCTCAGGGATTGTTCCTGGCAGTGCTCGGGGACCCTAGGGAAGGGCGGGGATCAAACGGGGCGGGGGGGGGGGGAGAACACCTTCCTCACTGTCCTATCTCTCCAGCCCCCAATTAAAAAAATTATTTTTGATCCATGTGTTGTTTATGAGAATGTTATATTATTATTATTATTACTATTATTATTATTTTGCTTTTTGGGTCACACCCGGCGATGCTCAGGGGTTCCTCCTGGTTCATGCACTCAGGAGTTACTCCTGGCGGTGCTCAGGGACCATACGGGATGCTGGGAATCGAACCCGGGTCAGCCGCGTGCAAGGCAAACGTTCTACCTGCTGTGCTATTGCTCCAGCCCCTTTTTATTTTTATTTATTTATTTATTTGCTTTTTGGGTCACACCCGGCAATGCACAGGGGTTACTCCTGGCTCTGCACTCAGGAATCACTCCTGGCAGTGCTCGGGGGACCATATGGGATGCTGGGAATTGAACCCGGGTTGGCCAAATGCAAGGCAAATGCCCTACCCGCTGTGCTATTGATCCAGCCCCTTCTTCTGGTACTTTTTTTTTCTTCTTTTTGGGTCACACCCGGCGATGCTCAGGGGTTACTCCTGGCTCATGCACTCAGGAATTGCTCCTGGCGGTGCTCAGGGGACCATACGGGATGCTGGGAATCGAACCCGGGTTGGCCGCGTGCAAGGCAAACGCCCTCCCCGCTGTGCTATCGCTCCAGCCCCTATTTTATTATTTTTGAATGTTTTTGTTTTTTTAGGCCACATCTGGTGATGCCCCGGGATTACTCCTGAGTCTGTGCTCAGGGATCACTCCTGGCAGGGCTCAGGGGACCATATGGGATGCCGGGCACTGAACCTGCGTCAGTCACCTGCAAGGCAAGTGCCCTTCCTGCTGTACTGACGTGGCCCCTCACTCACTGAACTTCCCAACCACCCAGTTTCCCTTCCTCATCCTCATCCTCATCCTCCACCTCCCCTCCCCCCCGGCACTCTGTCCCAGATGTCACTTCTTCAGGAAGACCTTCCTGGGTCCTTTGGATCTAGGCTCCTAGGTTTTTATTATTTTTTTTCCACATTTAAAGGTCAATGGTGAGGGGCGGTGAGAGTGACTGACCTGGGTTCATCCTCAGCATCCCTCAAACCCTGCCAGGAGTGATCCCTGAGCGCAGAGCCAGGAATAGCCCCGAGCACCACCAGAAGTGGCCAAAACAAAACAAAACAAAACAAAAAAACAGCACAGAAACTGGGGCTGGAGAAATCGTGCAGCAGGTCGGACTTTCCACCTTGCACTTGGGCTATCTGGGTTTGATCCCCGGCATCCCCTAGGGTCCGAATCTTCCAGAAATGATCCCCTGAGCACAGACCCAGGAGTAAATCCTAAGTATCTCCAGCTGTGGGCCCCAAACTCAAACAAAATACACTGTATTTCCTCCCATTGTTCATCAATTTGCTCGAGCGGGCCCAGCAACGTCTCCATTGTGAGACTTCTTGTCACTGTGTTTGGCATATTGAATATATCACGGGTAGCTTGCCAGGCTTTGCCACTCGGGCGAGAGACTCTCGGTAGCTTGCCAGGCTCTCCAAGAGGGGTGGAGGAATCGAACCTGGCTCGGCCGGGCTGGCCGCGTGCAAGGCAAATGTCCTACCTGCCTACTCCAGCCCAGGGCCCCAAGCTCAAAAACAAAATTGAACCAACAAAAAATATTAATAGTGAGGTCTGGAGAGATAGCACAGTGGCTAGGGCGTTTGCCTTGCACGCGGCCGACCCGGGTTCGATTCCCAGCATCCCATATGGTCCCCTGAGCACCGCCAGGAGTGACTCCTGAGTGCAGAGCCAGGTGTAACTCCTGTGCATCGCCAGGTATGACCCAAAAAGCAAAAAAAAATAATAAAAAAAAAAATTAATGGTGAGCTGGAGAAAATAGCTCCCTTGCATCAGGAACAGGCATAGTGTGTGGAAGCCCCAGATTCCGTTCCTGGCACTTCCTGGTTCCTGGGAGCACTGCTGGGAGTACCCCTCCCAGTCCCCCCGCGGTGCCACCTGTAGCCTCAAACAAAACCTGCGTTGATCATGCATGCCGTATCCACCTGAACCTCTCTGAGAAGCTGAAGGCAGGGGCCCACAGAGACGGCTTTGCAGGTGCCGGCTAACCAGGAGGTCCACCACAGACACAATTGCTCACTGCGGGAAAGGGGGGTGGGGGTGGGGGGACCAGCGGGGTGGGGTGGGGGGCTCAGGCCCCCAGCTCATGGGTTAGCACTTAGTGTAGGAGATCTTGCATTTCCTAGGGTAAAGATGGAGAAATAGGTTCACAGAGGTCCAGTGAACCTAGATCTCGTGTGTGTGTGTGTGTGTGTTGTGTTGTGTGTTGGGAAACAGTGTCTAGGAGGTGAGTCCAGATTTGAGTGTGACCAGCCTCCAGCAAGCCCCTCGGACCCCTCACCTCTGGGGTCCTCTCGTCCTTCTCCTGGAAGCCCAGGCGCAGAAGGCTGAGGTCCACCTCCAAGGAGCCGTTGGTGTAGAAACCGAAGTTGTTCAACTGGATGTCGGCTCGCTTCTCGCCCTGCGGGAGACCAAGGAACGCCAGCACTCCTGACTTCTCCCCACTCCTAGTGGTTCCACCCAGGGGGTCAGGTGCTGGGAGGGGTGGGGGCGCCCCAAGGGTCATCTGTCCTCTCCCGGTACCAACCCCTTTTTATTTGGTGGTGGGGAGGGGTCCACACCCGGCGATGCTCAAACTCCTTATCCTACAGTCAGGAATCATTCCTGGGGGGTGGGGGTGGGGGCTGGGACGCCCCTATGGGATGCCAGGGATCGAACCCGAGTCCAAAGCATGTAGCACGGTAGCACTATTTTTTAAATTTTTTTTCTTTTTTGCTTTTTGGGTCACACCCGGAGATGCACAGGGATGACTCCTGGCTCTGCACTCAGGAGTTACTCCTGGCAGTGCTCAGGGGACCTATATGGGATGCTGGGAATCGAACCCGGGTCGGCCACAGTGCAAGGCAGATGGCCTCCCCGCTGTGCTATTGCTCCAGCCCTATTCTAAAAAAAAATTTTTTTTTTAAAGGACAAGTACAAAGGATGACAGGGGAGGCTGGGGTCCCGCGGTCGAAACCCCCAACCAAACAAAGGGAGAGAGGGGCTAGGGTCGCACTGAATCTCCAGGAAGAGAAAGTTTTTTGGGGGGCACCTGGCACTGTCCCCTTTTCATGCCTCTTGGACAACCTGGAGATCCCCACTTGCGCCCCCTCGTGTGCTGAGATTTCAACTGGGGACCCCCACCCCCAACCCTGAGATCCCAGTGGGTGCTCAAAGGACGCCCCCACCCCTCATTCTAGAATGCCCGGGGGGCCTCCCTCTGGGCGGGGCCAGGGTTTCCCCTGCCTCCCAGGGGAGCGGGAATCCCAGGCCCGCGAGGAGCTAAGAGGGGCCGCCCCTCCCCCCTGCGAGGGTGCTGGGGGGCGCGACCCCCCTGCGCGGCGGGCCAGGCTAGACCACCCGCGGGCTGCAGCAGGGGGGGATCCTCGGACGAGACCACTCCGGTTGCAGAAAATCGCAGGGGCCCCGGCGGCGAGGGGAAGGGGGGAGGGGTCAGGGGTCACCGGGCGGCTCCATCCTGCAAAGGGGGCGGGGGGAGCAGGACGAGACCACTCGGAGCCAGGGGGCTTCTCGGCGACCACGCTGCGCTCCCGACCCCCGGCTGCCGCGCGCCGGGACTCACCGTCAACGCCAGCCGGTGGATGCGGCCCGAGCAGGAGCCCCAGAGCAGCAGCAGGAGGAGCCGCGACCCCCCGCCAGCCGCGGGGCTCCCGCGGGCGAGCCCCCTCCTCTCGCTCACTGCCATCTCCGGAGCCAGCGCCTCCCCCGACACCGCCTCTGACGCCCCCCTGCGGGTCCGCCTCCCCGCGAGCCAATCGCCGCGCAGCGGGGGCCGGACCCCACGGCGGCGCCAGCCCTCCGAGCCAATCAGCGGTCCCGCCTCGCCCACCGGCCGCTGACGTCGCCAGACCGACAGCACGCTCTTCCAATGAGAGCGGGCCAGGGCTCAATCCCGCCTCCAGCCTCGCCAATGACCGCGAGGATGGTCGCGGATGTGGTTTGATAGACAGCTCGTCTGGCCAATCGGCATGGCTCCGGTGCCCGGCCCTTGAAGCGGAATTCCTCTAGCTTGTAACTGACCGAAAGGTCCTGGACTACATTACCCAGAGTGCAAAGGGAACGGATTTTTTTTTTCCCTTCCCTAACCCTTGCAAGAAAAAAAAAAAAGGCCTGATCTAAACTACCTTTCCCAGTAGCCTCAAAGGCGGATTTCCTCTTTTTTTACCCCCAGGGACGTGGCTCCCCGCCAGAGTTCTGGCCGTCTTGGTAAACACGCGCATCTGCTCGGGCCTGCCCTGCTCGGAGTTTCCTGGTCCACGGGGAGGCCCAGCGCTGACCGCCTGCTAAACTTTGATCCTCGCATGACCTATGGCCCCAGGTTGAAATCCCTGTGCAAGTGGAGCCTCCTATCTCAGGATGAGACAGCTGGACGGCCACTCCCAGGTCCTCAGCTGGGCTGGAGGACAGGACCCTGACCCCAGCTGAGCCAGGATCTCAAGTTGGAAACCCAGCAGGACTCGCCCCCCCACCACCACCTCCCTCCCACCCTCGACCTCGGGTGCAGAAATTGAGCTCCTGAACCCAGAGCCGGTCCAAAAAGAAGGCAAAGCTTGCTTGAACCTCCCCGGATTCAGTCGCCCCAGCAGCCTGCGCAGGGAACTGTGATCGCAGGAAGGTTTTTTTCTAGCTCAAAAGTCGCCAGCAGGTGGGGCCAGGTCCCTGCATCACTCTTTTTTTTTTTTTTTTTTTTTGCTTTTTGGGTCACACCTGGCGATGCACAGGGGTTCCTCCTGGCTCATGCACCCAGGAATTGACTCCTGGCGGTGCTCAGGGGACCCTCTGGGATGCTGGGAATCGAACCCGGGTCGGCCACGTGCAAGGCCAACGCCCTGCCCGCTGTGCTATCACTCCAGCCCGGACATCACTCTCTTGAAGTCACACCTAGGTCCTCAATACTGAAGGTCTGGCCAGCTCGATGTGTCTTGGACTAGGAGACCCCCGAGTCCCCAGCCCTAGCAGGACGTTTGTGTCACTTCCGGAGCTCTGGAGAATGCACCAAAGATTGAGGTCGAGGGCCCCTGGGGATCGCTCCCCTTTCATCCCAGAGCCGCAGAGGGTGTAAACAGACTTTTAAGAGGGAGGCCACAGACTTCCAAGTGTCCCCGCCCCGCCCCCCTCACCCCTTCCCCACTGCCCGGCCCTAGGGTCCGAGTGTCCGGACGGCTGGGGAGGGGGGGGTGGGGGTTGCAATCCAGCCAAGTTGAATCTGAATTGGCCTTAAGAGATGCCACTAGGAAACGGGCAGGTGCAAGTGCGAACTGGACGTGAGCCGGGGAGAGATCTGGGCCCGGAGCCCCAAGGACGGTCCGTCCTCAGTTTCCCGGGCGCAGAGCTGGGGAAGGGGGGGTGGGGGGAGGGAAGGCAGGATGCGGTGGGGGCGCTAATGGACCCGGCCTTGGCGAAAGGCGCGTCCCGGCCAAGATCGAAGTCCTGCCATCCGCCTTGTGGTCGGAGGGAACCAGACCATTAATGGGACCATCTGGAGCCTGGCCGGCCCGCAAGATCTGGGTGACCTCCAGGTTCTCCCCCTGCGACGGGATGGGGTGGCAGTTTGAGCGTCCCAGGCCCTTTAAGGGACGGTCGGAGGGAGAGAAGAAAAGGAAGCGCCATCTGGGGCGGGGCAGGGGTGGGGGAGGATCCGAGGGGCCTGGGAGATTGGAAGGAAAAAAAAAAACGGGTCGGGTGTCCTTTAAGAGACAGGTCCGGTGGCGTCGGGTGGCGGAGCGCTTTTAAGAGGGGGGCGGGGCGGCTCGGAGGCCCCGCCCCGCAGGCCCCGCCCTCGCCTGCTGGGATAGGCTGGTTGGCGGGGGCGGGCCCCTGAGGCTCCGCCCTCGCCTGCTGGGGTAGGCTGGTTGGCGGGGGGCGGGCCTGAGCCTCGGAGGGGGCGTGGCCCTCCCGGGAGTGGGCGGGGCGGGGCCGGGCGCACCGCCCTGGGCTGAGTCTCCCGACGGCGGGCGGCGGGGACCGGGCGCGGCGGCGGCGGGAGCAGCGGGGGGACAGCATGGATTGGGGCACGGAGCTGTGGGTGAGTCCGAGCGACCCCACTCCGAGCGCCCCTTCCCCGGGGGGCGGGGTCCGGGCCGGCGCCCCCCGCCGCCCCTGGCTGCACCCCGGCCCGACCCTCTGCCCCCCACCCCGGGGCTCTCCTTGCTGGACCGCCCCGGGGGAGGGCAGGCGGCGGCCAGTTTGCGGGAGCGGCGTCGGGAAACTGAGGCACGGGGTCCCCCGAGGGAGGAGGCCCGGCGCGGGCAGCCCCGGGCGCTGGCCGGGGCCGGGGCCGGGGCCGGGGCGGCCGGGCGAGGTCACCTATTTTGAGCGTCCCGGCCGGGCGGCGGCTTATCTTACGGCCCCTGGGTGCGTGCCCGCCGCCCGCCTGTCCGACGGGGGCGGGGGAGGGGACCCTCCGGCCACTTCGGGCCCACGTGGGACCTGGGAAGTCCGGCCCGGCCTTTCCCCTCTCCTGCACCCGGCAGTCCGGGGGTGGGGGCTTGGGACGCGCGCGGGGCCGCGTGGGGAGGGGGCTCCGGGCTCGGCGTCCGCCCCCTGCCCCAGCCTCGACCCTGGAGCCCCCGAAGATCCCCCCCACCCCTCCCAGCCCCGGCCTGGACCTCGGAGCCCCCCACGCTCTGCTCTCGGGGGTCCCCGATGATCCCCCCTCCCTCTTCCCCGCCCCGGCCTGGACCTCGGAGCCCCCCACGCTCTGCTCTCGGGGGTCCCCGATGATCCCCCCACCCCTCCCAGCCCCGGCCTGGACCTCGGAGCCCCCCACGCTCTGCTCTCGGGGGTCCCCGATGATCCCCCCACCCCTCCCAGCCCCGGCCTGGACCTCGGGGCCCCTCACGCTCTGCTCTCGGGGGTCCCCGATGATCCCCCCACCCCTCCCAGCCCCGGCCTGGACCTCGGGGCCCCCCACGCTCTGCTCTCGGGGGTCCCCGATGATCCCCCCCACCACTCCCAGCCCCCGCCTGGACTTCGGAGCCCCCCACGCTCTGCTCTCGGGGGTCCCCGATGATCCCTCCACCCCTCCCCAGCCCCGGCCTGGACCTCGGAGCCCCCCACGCTCTGCTCTCGGGGGTCCCCGATGATCCCCCCCACCCCTCCCAGCCCCGGCCTGGACCTTGGAGCCCCCCACGCTCTGCTCTCGGGGGTCCCCGATGATCCCCCCCACCCCTCCCAGCCCCGGCCTGGACTTCGGAGCCCCCCACGCTCTGCTCTCGGGGGTCCCCGAAGATCCCCCCTCCCTCCTCCCCGCCCCGGCCTGGACCTCGGAGCCCCCCACGCTCTGATCTCACGGGGGTCCCCGATGATCCCCCCCCACCCCTCCCAGCCCCGGCCTGGACTTCGGAGCCCCCCACGCTCTGCTCTCGGGGGTCCCCGAAGATCCCCCCTCCCTCCTCCCCGCCCCGGCCTGGACCTCGGAGCCCCCCACGCTCTGATCTCGGGGGTCCCCAGGTGCAGCGCGGCGCGGGCGACCCCCACCCACCCCCTGCCCAACTCCGGGATCTCCTGGGAGTCGCCGCTGTCGGGGGCGGGGCGGGCGGGCGGAACTGAGTCACTTCTCGGGGGACCCGACGGAGCCAGGATCGGGGATCGGGGATTGGGGATCCGGGGGCCGCCCCCCGCCTGCCCGGCTGGAGGGGCCCCCCCAGCAGCCGGCCGCGGGGCGCCCCGTCCCCCCCACCCAGCCCTGACTCACCGCTGCCGGGCCGGCCGGATTTTCCGGAATCTTGGGCCGGGGGGATGGGGGGGATTAGGGGAGCCGGGGGCCAGCGAGTGGCCCTGCCCGCTTCCACGCCCCCCGGGGCCCCGTCCTGGGACCCGGACCCCCCGCTGTCCGGCCGCGGCCCCGCCCTTGGTTGGGGCCCGGCCCTGCCCTTCCCGGGAAGGGGCCGGGGGTTCCCGCCGGTTTCCTGCGCCCGGGGCGGGGCCTGGAAACTCCTGGGTCGGGACCAGCCTGGCTGGGGAGGGGCCTGGCTGGGGGGGGGGTCCCCTGCAGCAAGGCCCTGACCCCCCACCCAGGATCAGTTCGACGTGGGGGCCTGGCTGGGGGGAGGGGTCCCCTGCAAGACCCTGACCCCCCACCCCTCGACCCCCGCCCAGGATCAGTTCGACGTGGGGGCCTGGCTGGGGGGAGGGGTCCCCTGCAAGACCCTGACCCCCCACCCCTCGACCCCCGCCCAGGATCAGTTTGACGTGGGGGCCTGGCTGGGGGGAGGGGTCCCCTGCAGCAGGGCCCTGACCCCCCACCCAGGATCAGCTCGACGTGGGGGCCTGGCTGGGGGGAGAGGTCCCCTGCAAGACCCTGACCCCGCCACCCCTCGACCCCCGCCCAGGATCAGTTCGACGTGGGGGCCTGGCTGGGGGGAGGGGTCCCGTGCAGCAGGGCCCTGACCCCCCACCCAGGATCAGTTCCACGTGGGGGCCTGGCTGGAGGGGGGGTCCCCTGCAAGACCCTGACCCCCCACCCAGGATCAGCTCGACGTGGGGGCCTGGCTGGGGGGAGAGGTCCCCTGCAAGACCCTGACCCCGCCACCCCTCGACCCCCGCCCAGGATCAGTTCGACGTGGGGGCCTGGCTGGGGGGAGAGGTCCCCTGCAAGACCCTGACCCCGCCACCCCTCGACCCCCACCCAGGATCAGTTCGACGTGGGGGCCTGGCTGGGGGGAGGGGTCACCTGCAAGACCCTGACCCCCCCACCCCTCGACCCCC